GCCCTTTGAAATTGAACTAACCACTGGACTGCCAGGGAATTCCCACGAGTTCCATTTTATAAATTTGAACCTGAGGCAGGATAATATAGTGTTTAGGGCCCAAGATCTGGAGCTATATTATGCAGGTTTGAACCCTGGCTCCATTGTTAGATTTGTGATCGTGGACAAGTGGTATAATCTCTCTGTGTCTCATCTTCCTCATCTGTAAAATAAAGATGCTTGTGTGAGTAGCTATGTCATAAGGAAGCTGAAAAGATACAATAAGATGATTTATGTAAGGCACATAGCACATACATGGTACATGTTAATTTCTCAGCAAGCATTAGCCATTATTATTTGTTCCAAATACTCCTTCCCACCTCCACCCCCACTCCCACCAGAGGAAGAAATAACGGTATTGGATAAATAAATGGCCTTGTCACCAGAGTATTATTTTGGATGATTTTGGTTCATGCTTTAAGGATTCCCGTTCCAAAGCCATTCTCCTGCCATCACTTTTCTGATACCCTTGCTGTGGATACTCTCTTTCCAATAAACTGCCCTGCCTTTCTCATTTTCCTTTCCCCCTCAGTCTCCCTCTCACATGGCAAACCATCCTCCTTCATACCATCCAAAGTGTCCTCAAGATGTGTCCTGGAAAGTAAAAACATATAGCAAGTCCATTATGGAGGTGTATATGCCCCTGGACTCCTAAAGATCACAGAATTTGGTGCTCCGAGATCTATGAGCAAGCTTCAGAGGCAGATGGGGAATTGAACTTCCTGCTACCCAGGTACTAACACAGTGTCTTTCTGGGAAACAGACATATCCCACGCAAAGGCATGGTTGACACCCAGGTGGATGTGGGGGTAGGGGTGGAATGAAGCTTCTGCACAAACTCTTGCAAACATTGCCAAGTCTGATGGCATCTCCAAGTGATCACAAGCAGAAGTGGAGTGGGGAGAGGTGAGGATGAGATGAAATAATCCAACCTAGGACACCAAGGGAGAGATTTCCCTGGTGATCCAGTGGCTAAGACTCCATGCTCCCAATGCAGGGGGCCCATGTTCAATCCCTGGTCGGGGGAACTAGATCCACATGCCACAACTAGAGTTCAGACGCCACATCTAAAGATCCCACGTGCCACAACAAAGATAGAAGATCCCACATGCGACAACTAAGACCTGGCACAGCCAGATAAGTAAAAATATTTTTAAAAAAATTTTTAAAGGACACAAAGGAAAGCAGAGGAAGTCAACTTCCAGATGCAGAAGTGGTGCTAGTATTCAGGTCTCTGGACAAGGCTAACCTGGGATGCAGAGGAAGCAGAGTCAGCTCTCCATGTGGCTGAGCCTGTCTCCTTCCAGACCTTCAGCCTCCGGAGAACGGCTGCTTCCTGCCTTCCCCTCTCCTGCCAGTGCAGCTGAATGGAGGACCCTAAGGATGTGCTGGAGGAAGGGATGGCAAACATTCTGCCTGGAGAAAGAATTGGCAAACCTGGGGTTGATTCCAGCTGGGCCCTTGGTGTCCTTACCAACTGGTGCTCCTCAGAGCTTCTTGCCCCAAAGCAAAGCCACATCTGGTCTATCAAAGTCCATCTGTTGGTCAAGGGCACCACATGCCATGTCATAACTGCAACCTTCTGACACTGCCTCCCACACACTCTCTAGGATTGTCAGATAAAATAGAGGACACCCAGTTAAACCTGAATTTCAGATAAGTGACAAATACTTTTTTAGTATAAATATGTCCCAAATATTGCATTGACACATCACTGTGGTTTTTGTTTAGTCACTTTGTCCTGTCCAACACTTTTGTGACCCCATGGACTCTAGCCCACCAAGCTCCTCTGTCCATAGCATTTCCCAAGCAAGAATACTGAAGCAGGTTGCCACTTCCTTCTCCAGGGGATCTTCCTGACCCACGGATCAAAACCCCATCTCCTACATTGTAGGCTGTTTCTTTACCAATGAGCCACCGGGGAAACGTTCAAATATCGTATGTATATACACACAGACACATATGGAATCTAGAACAATGGTACTGATGAATCCATTTTCAGGGCAGCACTGAAGATGCAGACAGAGAAAAGACTTGTGGACACAATGGAGGAAGGTGAGGGTGAGACGAACAGAGAAAGTAGCATGGAAACATATACATTACGATATGTAAAATAGGTAGCTAGTGGGAATTTGTTATATGACTGAGGGAGCTCAAACTGATGCTCTGTGACAACCTAGAGGAATAGGATGGGATGGGAAGTGGGAGGGAGATTTAAGAGGGAGGGGACATATATACCTATGACCGATTCATATTAATGTATGGCAGAAACCAATACAATATTGTAAAGCAATTATCCTTCTATTAAAAATAAATATTTAAAAAAAGAAACAAAAAATGACTTGTTAATCTGATAGTCAAGCTACCCTTCTGGATTTAGCAACCCTTCTAAATTCTGAACCTTTCAGAATCTTCCTCCCCCAGGTTCACCCCAGGACTTTGCCTGAATCAGGTCTCTGTTCATTCCTTAGCAGAGAACATTGGCTTCAGGCTGCCTGCTCTCTGAGGGTAAGACCCAGGCCTTTGTCCACCATCTCCGTTCCAGGTAGATATGCTCCCTACAGATGTGCACAAGGGCACCGGCCAAGAGTGAACATGAATTTACAAAGAAATCCACCCTCAACTCTTTGCCCCGCAGGGCCCTCTCACGGAACTGAACCATTGAAGGGAGCTTTTTTCTTACCTATCCACCCAGAGGAACTCTTGCTTCTAATTGGTTCACCCAGAATCAGTGCCCCTTCTTCATTGGCTGGTTGGGAGGTGGGCGGGGCCAATCTCCAAATAGTCCACCCACAAGAACTCCTGTTTCTAAGCCTAACGGAAGGAAATTCAAGAATTCTTCCATCCAAGTGGCCTCTTTTTCTAATCAAAGTGTTAGTTGCTCAGTCGTGTCCAACTCTTTGTAATTGCCTGGACCGTAGCTTGCTAGACTCCTCTGTCCATGGAATTCTCCAAGCAAGAATTTTTACTGGAGTGGGTAGCCATTCCCTTCACGGGATCTTCCCAACCCAGGGATCAAACCTGAGTCTCCTGCATTGCAGGCAGATTCTTTACCGTCTGAGCCACCAGGGAAACCCCACCCCCCACCTTTTTCTAAACGATACAAAAGTATCTTGTGTGCTACTGAATCCCTCGACCTTAGGATAAGAACACTGCGTTACATTTGCTTAGATCTTAGTAATTTCAAATTACCTTTACACACATTAACTCATCTAAACCCCACATCGACCCCCAGTGGTGGGTATCATTGTACCATTTGCTTTTTCAGTTCAGTTCAGTCGCTCAGTCATGTCCGACTCTTTGGGACCCCGTGGACTGAAACATACGAGGCTTCCCTGTCCTTCACCATCTCCCGGAGCTTGCTCAAACTCGTCCATCGAGTCAGTGATGCCATCCAACCATCTCGTCCTCTGTCGTCTCCTCCTGCCTTCAATCCTTCCCAGCATCAGGGTCCATTCCAGTGAGTCAGTTCTTAGCTTTAGGTGGCCAAAGTATTGGAGCTTCAGTCCTTCCAATGAATATTCAGGACTGATTTCCTTTAGCATGGACTGCTTGGATTTCCTTGCAGTCCAAGGGACTCCCAAGAGTTTTCTCCAACACCACAGTTCATGGGTTTGGGTAGACTCCGGGAGTTGGTGATGGACAGGGAGACCTGGCAGGCTGTGATTCATGGGGTCGGAAAGAGTTGGACACGACTGAGAGACTGAACTGACTGAACTGACAATTCAACGCATTAATTCTTCGGCGCTCAGCCTTCTTTACGGTCCAACTCTCACATCCATACATGACTACTGGAAAAACCACAGCTTTTAGACATTTTTTTTTTTTTTTACAGGTTAGCAAACTGAGCCTGGAAGAGAGACAGTAACCTGTCCACAGTCACTAAGGCAGATAATAAAAACAGTTTACTTTGGCTTACTACGAGTTTGACTAAGCTTTTCACGTAAATCATCTCTCAACCCTTACTGCAATTGTGTGGGATAGATTCAGCTAGGCATTTTACACATTTTCTCGATCTTCAGGCGACTTTGCAAACTAAATAGCATTCATGCTCATCTTACTAAAGAGAAAACGGACCTCTGCAGTCAAAAAGTCATAAGCTGCAGCCTACCATCTATAAAACGTGGACTTCAGGGAGCCAGGTACGCTGCTCCGTTATCTACGGGCATTGTTCTCTCATTAAATGCTCCCTATTATCACATGACGTCGCTATTCTTATTATCTTCATTTACTGCCAAGTTCAGAGAGGGTGCGTGACTTGCCCAAGACCACACAGCGAGCTGGTGGTGGCTGAGGCAGGATTCCCATCTGGAGCTCAAATTCAAGTCTTAAACTCCGGGAGTTGGTGATGGACAGGGAGGCCTGGCGTGCTGGAGTCACAAAGAGTCGGACACGACTGAGCGACTGAACTGAACGGACCCCAGTCCAGGGCTCCTCTCACATCCCAGGGCCTCCGTCCCCGTCGGCCCGGCTGAAACAATCGATGACCCTCGAGTAGGCCAGAATTCCTCTTCCTCGAAGTCTTAGGTAGCCACAAGCGCCAGAAGACGTTTCCTCCCCTGCTCTCCGCAGAGAGATCCGGATCCGCGCGGGGCGAGGCCACGCCGCCTGCGGAAGAGGCGCCTGTTAACACAACGGCGCGTTCCAGGAGGCGAGCCGGGTGGGTGGGGCCGGAGTGCCTGGGTCCCGCCCCGTCTTCCCCACTCCCTCGCCTCCAGGTCCGGAACCCTCGCTCGGATCCGTGGGCAGACACTGCAGGGCTGGACGACCTCGAAGCCCGCTGGCGACGAAGCGCTGCGGAGGAACCGCCCGGCGCTCGGAGCCGGGAAACAGGCGAGGCCCTGCGACTTTCCCCTCGGCACTGGGCCGGGGCAGCGCTGGAGCGTCCGCCGGGACCGGGGCGCGGCGGACCGACGGCCGGCTGCCCCGCGCCTGGTGCCCCGCGCAGGGGCGGCGGCTACATGGCCGCGCGGGTCGGCCTGCTGCTCCGCGTACTGCCGCTGCTGCTGTGGGGCGGCCTGGACGCCCAGCGCGTAGGCCGGGAGCTGCGCCGGGAGGCGGAGGTACGCGGTGAGAGCCGGCCGGAGAGGGTCCGCGCGCTGGGGACCGGCCCGAACTTTGCAGTCAGGCCACCCAGCCGTCCCATCCGCGCTGACCGTCGGCGTGACCCTCCCTTGTCCTCCGCACCCTTCACACCTGCACGTGAAGAGCCGGGGGCAGCATTCTCTTCCTTCCCACCCCATCCCGAGCCCCCAAGCCGGGGCTGGAACCACACGCACACGCGGATCCGCACCGGGTTCCCAGGATACGGGGAAGGGGTCAGCGATAAAAATGGGATAGACAGGCAAGAACTGAGGGGGAGGGGACTCCCACACCCTAGTTTGGAGCGCAGCCACTGTCCCTCACTGCCTAGGCTGGGGAGACTTAGCAGTTCATTCCTCCGACGCCCAGAGCCCTCCCGGATCAGACGCTCCTGAGACTTCCAGATTGGTGGGGAGAGGGTACCGCTGGCTGGCCCCGACGGGGGGCACGGTGAAGAGCTCTGCCTCCCTGGGCTGGTGCTGCCGCTGACCAGCTGAGGCAAGTGAGCGCCCAAGCTCAGAACTAGTTTCCCATCTGTAAAATGGGTAAAAGTAGCACACTCTTTTTTTTTTTTTTTGCCCGGCATGTGCATTCTAAGTTCCTCAACTAAGGGCTCAACCTCGGCCCTTGACAGTGAAAGCATGGAGTCCTAACCACTGGACCATGGCGGAATCCCCCAAAGTAGCATATTCTTTTTAAAAATAATAATAATAATTTTCATTTATTTGTTTTTGGCTGGGTCTTCTTTCCCTGGGTTTTCCTTGCTAAGCCGGGCTTTTCTCTAGTTTCGGGCAGCGGGGCTGCGCTCTAGATCTCGTGTGCCGGCTTCTCCTCATTGCCTTGGCTTCTCCTGTTGCTGAGTACAGATCTAGAGAGTAGAGGGATGCGAAGGGCTTCAGTAATTGCGCGGTTCCCAGGCTCTAGAGCTCAGGCTCAGTCGTGGCGCAGGGGCTTTAGTTGTTCCCATGCATGAGGGATCTTCCTGGATCAGTGATGGAACCCATGTCTCCTGCCTTGGCAGGCAGATTCCTCAGATTCCCTGAGGCACCAGGGAAGCCCCAAGAGTAGCACACTCTTTGAGTTGTTTCTAAGGAGCTTTAAACAATGTTTCAGGACTGAACCTTAGAAACGTGGGTGGGGAGGTGGAAGTGACCCTTAAAGATTTCCCATCTCATTTTCCTCCCTTGGACTCAACTGCTTGGTGTAGGTTGCACAAGGGGAACTTTTTGTGAAGTGGAAGTAGAGATGAATTGGGGGCGTCTATCGTCTAGATAAAGGTGACTAATAATATATCCCAGTTTCATTTCTTTCTTCCCCATAGAAGCATCTCCGTGTTTTTGATCTCTTCTCTGGATTAGGACTGAAGTCTCTGCTGTTTTAAGGAGTAGGGATCCAAGTTAGTTTTAAACGACTGAGTCCAGCACTCTGCTCTGAGACTCTTACTCCTCTAATAGCATCATTCCTGCCCTGAAACTGCCAGATGCAAGCTTCTCAGTATCCCCACTCCCCTCCCCCAGAAGAGGGAGAATCTCCAAATGTAAGAACCCTGCAGAATGAGGAGGGCCACCTCTGCACGGCTCTGCCTTCCACAGCCGGCTCTCATCACTGCTCTGAAATATTTGGAGATGGCCCTGCTTCCAAGAGGGTCCTCCCCCCAATGCCTTCACTCCCTCCCCTTCGAAGCCCTGATCTCTTGCTCTATGCTCTCTACTTTTGCACATTCGAGAATCACTTTGTTTCTCTGACTTTAGTGTCTTACAACATCAAGTGCAGAGTCCTTCTGGCCCCAGGAGAAGGCTTCTGTGGACCAAGCCAAGTCTTGTTAAGAGTCCACCCCACCTCCTCCCAAGTCCAGGTCCCAGACAATCCTTGGCAGAAGAATAGAGACCATATCTCTGCCGCCCATGCTTGTGGTGGCCCCAGATGGAGAGAATTTCATCTTCGGGTGTGCTTGGGAAACATAATATCTAGCAGACTGAGTCTCTTTCCGTCTATTTAACATAATTGAAGGAAGGAGATTTTTTTGTTACCTCTGAGAACAAGAGATATTTTTAAAAGCATGAAGAACTCGTGAAATGTGCAATAGGTGTGGTCCCTATATGCATAAATATCTATGCAAATTGTGTCATGTTGGTATGTATATATGTGTTTCTGTATATGATCAATTGCATGGGCTTCAGTGTCAGACCTGTGTACAAAAACCTACAGGTAAATTATTTAAACTCTATAAGCCTCAGTTTTCTTTTCTGTAATATGGGTTAGTAATACCTATTCCACAAGATTTTGGTGTGGTTTCATGAGATAATGTATGTGAAATGCATTCTAGGCTCAGCACGGTGCCTAATATGTAGAAAACAGTCTATCAAAGAAAATTGCTCTCAATGTTGTTCTTGTTGGTGTTATCTTAGAAAGTTGTGACCCCCTGGACTGTAGCCTGCCAGGCTTCTCTATGCTAGACTCCTCTATCCAGGCAAGAACACTGGAGTGGGTTGCCACTCCCTTCTCCAGGGAATCTTCCTGACCCAGGGATCAAACCCAGGTTTCCAGCATTGCAGGCAGATTATTTACCATCTGAGCCACCAGGGAAACAGAGCTTCAAATTAAAGTCCTGGCATGGTGACTAGTCCCCTAGAGCAGTAACACAGGGCAAAATATATAAGGCAACTATTTTCAGCATTTGACAAGGCTATAATTCCTAAGAGATGGTGTTGCAGATACTATGGCTATGTTATAGATTACTTCAAAATTCAGTGAAGTAAAAGAACCATTTATTGTGTTCATAGCTTCTGTGGGTTAGAATTTCAAACAAGGCCCAGGAGGGCAGCTTGTCTGCCTCTGCAGTGTCTGGAGATGGAACCATCTGAAGGCTGCTTACTCACCTGTCTGGCAGCTGCTGCTTGCTGTCAGCTGCGAGCCTCGGTTCCTCTCCACGTGGTCTCTGCTGGTGGGCTAGTTTGGGCTATATCTCTAAACATGGTGGCTGGGTCTCCAGACTGAGTGTTGAGAGAGAGAGAAGAGTAAGAGAAGCAGAAGGTGTTATGTCTTTGTGACCTAGACTAAGAAGTTGCATGGCATCACTTGTTTTTTTAAAAGATTTTTTTATTTTGGCTGGGCTGGGTCTTCCTCGCAGAGTGCGAGCTCTGTGTTGTGGTGTGTAGGCTTCTCCAGTTGTGGTGCACGAGACTCAGAAGGCTCAGAAGTTGTGGCACATGGGCTTTGTATGTGGGATCTTAGTTCTCCAACTGGGGACTGAACCCCGGGCCCCCTGCGTTGGGAGCACGCAGTCTTATCCACTGGACCACCAGGGACGTTGCCATAGCATCACTTCTGCTCTACTCCACTGACTGGAGCCCCAGGCCCCAGCTGGAGGGGAGGGAACTGAAATCCCACAATTGGCGGGAGGGGTGTTGCGGTCACATGGTAAGGAGAGCACAGGAATGGGAGGTGTTGTGATCATTTAGGGAAAGACAACCATCCACAGACAGGAACCCGCACAAAGTGAGCCTCCTGATCACCCCAGCTCTCTGACCACAGTGCAGGGAGCCAGATCCCAAACAAAGCCCAGCAGTCCTGCTGAGCTCATAGGCAAAGGTCAGCGTTCTGGAGATGGCAGGAGAGGCACAGTGGGAACAAGCCGTGGGATCTTAAGCTTGCCACTTCCCTTCTCCACTCTGCAGATTCCTTTTCTGTAAAACGAAGGAGTTACATTTCTTAAGTGACTTTTAAGATTCTCTCCAGCACTAACCTTCTTTAACTTTGGTATGTTTGTATGCCTGTGCCTCTGCGTGTATGTGTGTGTATGTTTCATCTTCCTATGTCCGTGTCTATCCATCTGGATGTCTCTGTGTGCAGTTTTTTTTTTTTTAATTTAAAATTTTTGGCTGCACCAGGTCTTCCTTGCTGCATGTGGGCGTTCTCTAGTTTCAGTGACTGGGGGCTGCTCTCTATTTGCAGTGCGAGAGCCTCTCATTGTAGTGGTTTCTCTTGTTCCAGAACACCGGCTCTAGGGCATCCAGGCTTCAGTATTTGTGGGCACAGTCTTAGTTGCCCCGCAGCATGTGGGTTCATCCTGGGTTCATCCTGGGCACTGGCAGGCGGGTTCTTAACCACTGGACCACCAGGGAAGTCCTGTGTATATTCTTTTTTTTTCTTTTCTGTGTATATTCTTGTGCCCTGCAAGAGTGGCTCCGTGTGTCCCCTGTATGCACACAAAGAAATGAAATCAAGGGTTTTCCGGAGTGGGCTTTGCCTGGGAGGGGTCTGACTGCTTACAAAGCTGCATTGTGAACGAGGTCATTGTTGCCCACTTAGGAAAACCAGGGCCGCTCACAGCGTGAGTGAGTAGGAAGCGCCTCCATTGCTTAGTTGCCAGACGGAGACTTAATGAATGACATCACCACCCCGGCTCCCCCTCCCATTCCCAGCCAGGCCCTGTCCTGTTCTGGGGCAGCACAGACTGTCCCAAGGGATCTGTCTGTCTACCATGCATTGCTTGGACTTTCTTTAGAACAACCAGGCAGTGTGTCCAGGACCTGCCTTCTATATCTGCATAGCTACTCCCAGTGCGCGGGTGCAACAGGGAGCTGGGTAACTTGTCTCTCTAGGGACACTTTAGGGCTTCTGTGGAATATCCACCCCCAGATGCAGTGTCTGTTTCTCATACCCCAGAGCCATTCGCCTGACTTCATGTGAGTCAGAAACCCAGAAGCCCGGGTGTGGAAGTCGTTCCCAAGAGCTCAGCTCTGTGACTCACAGGGTGCACGAGAGGCTCTGCAGGGTCTCAGAGGACCGAGAGTTGATGGAAAAGCAGTTGTCGAGCCAGTCTGAAAAAAACAAGACATCTAGTGAAAGCTGGATGGCGGACGCAGGGACACAAAAGAGAGAGACTATTGGACAACTTTCCCTAAACACAACCTTTGTTAGTGCTTTCTTTGTTTTAATATTTTTACATTTATTTGGCTGTGCCAGGTCTCAGTTGCAG